TGGCGAGATATACAATGGGACTTGCAGATGGAAACAAACTGGTCTAACCTTAATGTCATATTGGTCAAACCTTGAGGCAACATTTGCGTGCCAGAAATCATTAATGCCATATTGGTCAAACCTTGAGGCAACATTTGCGTGCAAGAAATCCTTAATGCCATATTGGTCAAGCCTTGAGGCAACATTTGTGTGCAAGAAATCCTTAATGCCATATTGGTCAAACCTTGAGGCAACATTTGTGTGCAAGAAATCCTTAATGCCATATTGGTCAAGCCTTGAGGCAACATTTGTGTGCAAGAAATCCTTAATGCCATATCCTGATTTATAAAAATTATTGAACACCCCCCCCCTACATTTGTATTTCTATCCTGATATTGACAAAACTTTAACAGCATATGATATAGTAATGCCCAACCATTAAAAAAAGGACTGAATACAATATTTTAAAACAAGTAAAAAACCTCAACATAAAAATGTACTAAACAATGTATGTTTTGCTTTTGATGCTGGTATATTAGCAGCGTTGGTTGTTTATTTGTACTTTGAGCTTAGAGTATAAAAAACATACGTCCGATGGGATAATTGACTAATCTCTTTGGCCACACTTTGTAATCGATCATAGAAGACAAATCGATAGAGGGAAGATGAGGTGTAAATACATTTTTGAATAGAGGAAATTATACACACATTTAGCGCTTAAATTTTTTTTTAAATGGTCCGTAAATTGTTATTTGATTACAATTTGTTTACAGACAAAATCACATACACACGTACATAGACATAAACATATTTTTACAGTCACTCGCACATACACGAACGCACATACAAACACTTCAAAACACACATACTAACAGGCATGTATAGGACAAAAACACGTAAACACGCTTATAAAATCATACACCCATTCATACACACGTCCACACAGCCACAAACATAATCAGACATACATTCTTAAATACACTACGAAACACATACACAATATAATCTTAATATCTTACATCCATGACAAATGTCACTTTGCTGGCAGCCTATGACAAATGTCACTTTGCTGGCATCCAATGAAAAATGTCACTTTGCTGGTATCCAATGACAAATGTCAATGTGCTGGCATCCAATAACAAATGTCAATTTGCTGGCATCCAAAGACAAATGTCACGTTGCTGGCAGCATGTTTGTTCTCCTCTAACAAATGTAAACATCGGTGAAAGTTCTAGAGCTGGGGTTGCAGTTTGTGCTTCTTTGTAGAATTGTGTTGTCCAATCAGCTGATTGGGTCAGGGTACATGTGTCACCATTTGGACCGGTGTGTCACCATTTGGTCTAACCATTTGGACCAGTGTGTCGCCATTTGGCCCAGTGTGTCACCATTTGGTATCACCATTTGGACCAGTGTGTCAGCATTTGGACCAGTGTATCACCATTTTGACCACTGTGTCACCATTTTGACCTGTGTGTCCCCATTTTGACTAGTATGTCACCATTTTGACCAGTGTGTCACCATTTTGCCCAGTGTGTCACCATAGGACCGGTGTCTCACCATTTGGACCAGTGTCTCACCATAGGACCGGTGTCTCACCATTTGGACTAGTGTATCACCATTAGAATCAATGTGTCACCATTAGAACCAACGTGTCACCATTAAAACCAATGTGTCACCATTAGAACACCTTTTGTTTAAAGTCTATCTGTTGTCACTGGGCTATATAAACCAAACACCAGAGTCCCTTATGGGCTGGCATTCATCCAAGGTGTCTCGCCATCCTTACCTCAGCCAGCTCTTATCAAGTGGCTGGTTCTAATCCACGGATCCATATATTGGATAACTTTAATCCAGTGACGGGGTATGATCCCCATAGAACAGCTCTAACTAATCCTGAGATAACACACTTTCTAACCAAGTCTTAATAAACTTAAATCATGTTTTCATTTTTTCTTTCACCGTTTACTAATTTCCCAACAATGTTAACCCATAGCCTTGCCCTTTAATCAAAAACTAACCTAATGCCTAACACCTTGTTAAATGCCTAACACTTTGTAAATCATTACTTACAACCTGACCAACTAAATCATTAACCAGATCCTAACTCTCTAACGACCCCATGTGCCCTAGACACACTAGGGAAAAGATGACGGTGAGCTAATTATCATTCAATCCCTAACCTGTCACCGAATAACACAGTTCAATTTTGATATGCCTAAAACCCTTTTGACGCCCCTTCCATGACTTCCTGTTTCTCACAATGAAATATTACTCACCCAGAAAACACACCAACGCCATATTTTTTTGTTTTCCTGTCCCCAGAAGATGCAGCGAGTCAGAGCGAGGTCAGGCCGGCGGGGGGCAGGAAAGCTCCCCCACCCCTGACGCTCCAGCCCTACTGGGACTCCCCCGAGGAGAGCTCCCCCATCGAGAAATATTCCGAGGCCAGCGTCGGGGACGGGGATGACGAGACCAGCACAAGCGTCACCGAGGAGGGTTTTACGAGGTCCAATATTGCCACGTGAGTTTGTGTGACGTCATGGGGGGATTGGGTAAGGGAGGGTTTCACGAGGTCTAATATTGCCACGTGAGTTTGTCTGACGTCATGGGGGGATTGGGTAAGGGAGGGTTTCACGAGGTCCAATATTGCCACGTGAGTTTGTGTGACCGTCCTGGGTGTGTTTGACGTAATGGGGGTTGGGGGGAGGGTTGGGTAAGGGAGGGTTTCACGAGGTCAAATATTGCCACGTGAGTTTGTCTGACGTCATCGGGGAGGGGGGAAATTGTGTAAGGGAGGGTTTTACGAGGTCAAATATCGTAACGTGAGTTCGTGTGACTTCATGTGTGGGGGAATAATGGAAAGGGGTTCACCAAGTCCAACATAGAAATGTGATATCGTGTGACATCTTGTTTGCAGAGTTTCTGAGTTTCTTCCAGGCATCTCTTCGGGGGGGGGGGGGGGGGGGGGGGGCTCCGTGCCCCTGAAAGGAGTCTACCGTCCCGTCTCCCCCCCCCCCCCCCCCCCCGAAAAAAATGGAATTTATATAGGGAAGATGTACTTTTGACAATGTCCGCCCTCCGGAAATTTTAGTCCCCCCCCCCCCCGAAAATATCAAGTGCACCCCCGGAGAAAAAAGTCTGGAAGAAGCACTGCTTGTTTGGGTTGGGGAGGGGATAAAGGGAAGGGAGTAGGGGAGAGGTTCACCAAGCCAACGAGAGTTACTGTGTCATCTTGTGTGGGTGGGGGTACGTAACCGTGTGGGTCATAGTGTTTGGCTGCATCACGTCCAGGTGTACATTAGTTTTGTGAGGGTTTGATGTGGGGCTATGTGATGTTGAGGCGTATTTGATATACTGTATGGAGACTTTACTGTGTCAAATATAACAATGTTATTATTTTGTGCCATTACTAATACAACGATGACTAATCTCACCTTAGACTTAGGACGTTGACTTGTAGTTTAAAAATTCGACCTTTATTTTGTCTTGTTTGGCGTGGCGATCAACCCAATAAAACAAACTCGAACGTTGGAATTTATGCGAGATCTCGAAAATTAATTGCGAGAATTTATGCGAGATATCGAGAATTAGTTGCGAGGATTTATGCGAGAACTTGAGAATATAGTTTTTTTTTTGTGGGTGTGTTTAGTTGTGCGCATGCGCTGTGAGGCGTTGCGAAAAGGTACTCAGCTAATAAAAGGCTGGAATCGTAAACAAAAGATCGTGTGCTTGTGGAACTACTACACGGGGCTTAAATGTCGGATCGGGGTGGATTTATTGCCCGTGATTCGGTTTAACCGGGCAAGACTATTTTTTTTTAAAGACGGATAACTTCTAGCGCTTGTGGAGTCTAAAAATCTTGGGTTTTCTGAGGGAATTATTTTACTGGAGGACTTAAATGATGTTAAGCACCTTATATGGGGTGGGGGGTGGAGTTCTGTCTATGCCATAGTCACGAGATTTTTACTACACTCTTGCTGAACTATGACGGCTAGGGTTAGGGTTTGAGTCTTGATTAGGACTACTGTTAGGGCTCAGGTTGGTGTTAAGATATTGAAGAAAAGACCAGTGTAGTCTAGAATTTTTTTAAAGAATCACCTGGTTGTTTGAGCTGGACTTTGGTTAGAGCAAGAGTTCTAGGGTTATGATAAGGGCTAGGGTTCTGATCAGCGTTACGTTTATGATTATGGCTAGGGTTCTGATTAGGGCTAAGGTTCTAATAAGGGTTAGGGTTCTGATTAGGGCTAGGGTTCTAACAAGGGCTAGGGTTCTGATAAGGGATGGAGTTCTGATTAGGGTTTGGTTTATGATTAGGGTTAGGGTTCTAAAAAGGGCTAGGGTTTTAATAAGGGCTAGGGTTCTAATAAGGGTTAGGGTTCTAATAAGGGCTAGGGTTCTAATAAGGACTAGGGTTCTAATAAGGGTTAGGGTTCTAATAAGGGCTAGGGTTCTAATAAGGGTTAGGGTTCTAATAAGGGCTAGGGTTCTAATAAGGGTTAGGGTTCTAATAAGGGCTAGGGTTCTAATAAGGGTTAGGGTTCTAATAAGGGTTAGGGTTCTAATAAGGGCTAGGGTTCTAATAAGGGCTAGTGTTCTAATAAGGGCTAGTGTTCTAATAAGGGCTAGGGTACTGATTAGGGCTAGAGTTCTGATTAGGGCCAGGTTTAGAGTAGTAAAATTAGCAAATAAAAAAATTGCTTTAAAATTTCACCAATTATGACGATGTAATACGAGTATAGAAAATTTGAATTCGCGTCGAATGATGTCATTTGAGCCGGTTCCTCTCACAATTATGCAATTATTTGTTTGTGTTTTTATTTTTAATGGTAGAGTATCAAACTATTCAATACATTATATTATAATATTACAATAATTGTATCCAGCCCCATTAATTCTAATTAGGTAATTAAAATAATGAAAGTTTTGAATGCCCTCGATAACGAAACAATTTATTTAAACATTTTTTTAAATATTTTTTTTACCGTGGATATCAATGATAATAAGGCTATTTATTCCCAGAAATAATATCCACCGAATACAATAATTGGCATACAATAATTGGCATTGTAAAAAAATTGGTTAAAAGGTTTTTATTGCGTCTAAACCAAATTGTTAACAAAGCCTCAATTATTTCATTTTGAACGAGAGCAGATTAAATCATTACAGAAATTTGTTACATAATTAGCTGTGTAATAATGCGTATTTTCTATTACTTTTTATTAAGCTTAAACTTCGACCAACTTTCGCCTATTGTTCCATTCCCTTAGTTTAGTGCTAGACCAGGGGTCGGCAACCTGCGGCTCGCGAGCCGCATGCGGCTCTTTTGATATCAAGATGCGGCTCTCCAGCTCCTTGAAAAAATACTAATAATCTTAATTAAAAAATAAAATATTTGAAATAAAAAAAATGTTAGTGGCTCTTTAAAACCAGGGAAATTTTGAAAATTGTAACTTTTGGCTCTTCCGCTTCAAAAGGTTGCCGACCCCTGTGCTAGACCACTTGAATACATGCCCATCAGTCTAGAGTTCGGTCCGGGGTTCGAATCTGTAGGACGTCCCTCCCTCAATTTTTCCTAGTTCTGCAGGGTATTTAAATTACCCATGTTTAATGGGTACCACTGACATTGTGTCCCCATCTTTTATTGGTACCCCTGACATTGTCTACCAATCTTTAATGGGTACCCCTGACATTGTGTCCCCATCTTTTATGGGTACCACTGACATATATACCCATCTTTAATGGGTACCCTGACATTGTGTCCCCATCTTTAATGGGTACCTCTGACATTGTCTACCCAGCTTAACTGGGTACCCCTGACATTTTCTACCCATCTTTAATGGGTACCACTGACACATCTACCCATCTTTAATGGGTACCCCTGACATTTTCTACCCATCTTTAATGGGTACCTCTGATATTATACTGGGTACCTGACTGAGTTGGGGATAGTTGGCGTCTGGGAATAGTGTTGGCCACACAAGTTCTCCAAGCGTCAATGTCAACGACAGAGCCAAACTCTACTTCCTCTGTCCTATGAGCCACCAGATCTGCAGTAGCACCATCCATCGGCTGTGGTGTTTTAAAGCTACTCATATCTTCCCCATAAACACGCCATTGAACTGAAAGTCCAAACAACACGTTTAGCTTGTCTGTTTGTGCCATTTAAAAAAAAAACAGAATTCCAAATGGAAAAAAAATCACAATTTTCTTGGAACCACTTGGGATTCTAAAACACGAGTAAAAAAATACTCTATCCGTGTCCATTTCTTTCCATCCCCCCCCCCCCACCAATACTCTCCAAATTTCTTTCGTACTTATCGATCCATAGATTCAAGTAGGTCAGCCTGCCTCTGGGGGGGAGAAAGGGGAGGGGAAAGTTTTGAGGTGACAGAGATAAGAGAATGGAATGACGTGGACCCAGCGGTCTATGGTGCCAGACGTCCCACCCCTCTCGTCTGCTACCCACCCCTCTAGTCTGCTACCCACCCCACACGTCTGCTACCCACCCCTCTAGTCTGCTACCCACCCCTCTAGTCTGCTACCCACCCCACACGTCTGCTACCCACCCCACACGTCTGCTACCCACCCCACACGTCTGCTACCCACCCCTCTAGTCTGCTACCCACCCCTCTAGTCTGCTACCCACCCCTCTAGTCTGCTACCCACCCCTCTAGTCTGCTACCCACCCCACACGTCTGATACCCACCCCACACGTCTGCTACCCACCCCACACGTCTGCTACCCACCCCTCTAGTCTGCTACCCACCCCACACGTCTGCTACCCACCCCTCTACGTCTTCTACCCACCCCACACGTCTATTACCCACCCCTCACGTCTTCTACCCACCCCACACGTCTGATACCCACCCCACACGTCTGCTACCCACCCCACACGTCTACTACCCACCCCTCTAGTCTGCTACCCACCCCACACGTCTGCTACCCACCCCTCTACGTCTTCTACCCACCCCACACGTCTATTACCCACCCCTCACGTCTTCTACCCACCCCACACGTCTGATACCCACCCCACACGTCTGCTACCCACCCCACACGTCTGCTACCCACCCTTCTACGTCTACTACCCACCCCACACGTCTATGCTACCCACCCCTCTATGCTACCCATCCCTCTTACAGACTCATACTCGCCTTATCAGACAACTACTACCTCCAGGATTGAGCAATCTCCCTACCCACCCCCACCAATTTAACAGCCATCACCCCCACCCCACCCCCACACACACACACACACTGTACTATACATTACCCAACAAGCAAACATTGTATTCAGACAAGAAGCTGGATCACGTGATCTGAGTCGCCCTTTGACCTGACAGTGACGTCACACCGATATGTTGACACGTCTTAGATCAACATCCGAACTGTTTCCGTTTGTTTATTTTTAGAAACAAAATCTTTAGAACAATAAAACGTAAAAGTCATGAAATCACACAAATATAATGATCTTTAGAACAACTAAACGTAAAGTCATGAAATCACACAAATATAATGATCTTTA